CACCATCAGGTCATTTTTGACAACAATATGGCCACCATCAGGCCATTTTTGACAACAATATGGCCACCATCAGGTCATTATTGACAACAACATGGCCACCATCAGGCCATTTTTGACAACAATATGGCCACAATAAGGTCATTATTGACAACAACATGGCCACCATCAGGCCATTTTTGACAACAATATGGCCACCATCAGGTCATTATTGACAACAATATGGTCATCAGCAGGCCATTTTTGACAATATGATTACCAGCAGGCCATTTTTAGCAACAATATGGCCACCATCAGGCCATTTTGAATCAGGTCAATACAACAAAAAGATATTCATCAAGGTCTTGTGATACTCTATTTAAATGCCACGTTTCAAATAAATCCATTCACTTCTGGATGGCACAAATGATTTTGATGTTTTTTTCTAACTCGAATTAGGTAATGAAATGGACATGAATATTTAAATATAGTTTGACATTGAGTTTGCATCAATATTTTGCCGAGAAAAATTATGGTCTTCAAAGGGTTAAGAGCAATTGGTAACAATAGGCTTTCAACTTACTTCAGTTTGGTTGTTTCTGATTTCTGTTTTGTACTTTCCAGCTTAGAATTTCGGACTTCAGCTCTGAAAAGTAAACAGCACACTCTAGTGTCAGGAGTGATACAGGATAAAACGTATTATATATAGTGAGAGTGCTATCGGGTGTGGAGAGAGCCCTCTTGTGCCAGGTGTGATACACATCCAAGTAGTAATCCTATTTTTTGTCGTAAATACAGTGTGCCATCAGTGGTGTAATAACCACTAATCCCTGGTATATTTATTATGACTTTTAACACCAAACGTTAATATACTGAACGGAAAATAATTGAGACATTCTCTTTGACACTGAACATGTCATCTAGAAAGTACCAGGATGTGTGACCTTTGTGGGTCATGAAAGTACCAGGATGTGTGACCTTTGCGGGTCATGAAAGTACCAGGATGTGTGACCTTTGTGGGTCATGAAAGATCAATATATGCGAAATATACTTACTGAGTGTTACTAACAAGTGAATTCAATCTCGACAACTCGGCTCTGAAAACGAGATAAAAAAAATTTGAATTTTGTAAAATATATGAATATACCAAACATCTTTCACTATCAATGACATTCACATATTAAAATATTTAAATTTCTATTACAGAAATTATTACTGTCGTTTTGCAGTTTCCTTACCACCAATCAGATATACACATAATTATGTAGACATTGTATGATTGGTAGTGTCATATATGTAGCATCTCAAAATTCAGACCCATTCTTAACAAATCCAAAATTACTCCTGAGAATTTTTTTAACTGTAAAATACTTTATTTTCGCTATTTTTCTAAAGAGATGATTCAGTGGAAACAAAATCCAGGGAATATACCTATTTTTCTATCCTTGGGGCGGAGCTACGTCACCAGAACATTCTACATTGCTAAGACGCGCCACACTCTACCATGTATTTCTATAGGCTATGGGTGAGCTGCTGGAACACCAGTCTAAGAGCCGATGAAAGCAGCTAAAGTCAAGGAAAGAGCACAAACTCAACTTTGAA